ATTGACTTCAAAAGGCATTAGAGAACATTTCATGGCTATGGAAATGGGCTATATCATAAAATATACATTTGCCAAAACTCATCACACTGAACATTTACAATTAGTGAGTTTTTGTTGTATATAAATTATACCTTAATAAAAATGTGATGGTAAAGAAATATAAACAAGGATAAGTCCATAATTGAAGAGAATGGGGAATATTTATGGGATTAGGGTGCTCAGCATATTTTTGGAATGTGGATGAATGGATGGAAGAACAGAGAACATGACAGTTCAGATGGGAGCTGAGGTCTCATGTCATAGTAGAAACTCCAGAGAGGATCTAGGCTCTGAGGGTAGGATTAAGAAATGAGGTTTGCTAGACAGTGCTGTGCAGAGCAGTACTGGGGAAAAACCTCACAGGGATCCCCTCCAGAGAAGTTGAACAAACTGCCTGGGGAAAGCATTGCTATTAATACATGCAGTGTAAGTAAGACCATCTAAATTTTGGTATTGATGCTCCCAGCCTAAGGCCCAGCTTTCCCCACACTCTTGAAAATGAAGCGTCCCAAATAAGGCTCACCCATGTAGACAAAGGACACAATTGGTCTTCCTTTCACCAGGGAGGTCTATGAGGAAAGAGGTCTTACCAAGTCTACCGCAGAGAAAACCTGTGTGAAACACTCCATCTTTTTAAAATATGAGCAAAGAACTAAGGATCAATAGGAAAAAATCCAATAGCTTAGAAGAGAAAGACTGAAAATAAATGATTAGAACAGCCAACCCCAATGGAACTAAAACACATGAACCGGTAAAAAAACAAAAACAAAATATTATTTCCACTGATTTGAGAAAATATCACATCCATAAGACAAAAAGAACATGCCATGGGAAACTACTGATGTATATTGTATTTTGTTCATTTCTGTTGTGGTACTTAGTATATTACCTTTGTATTGTAGTTCTTTCTATTCACGTCTACTCTCATGAGACCAGTAACTCCCTGAAGGCAGGAACATGGTAGTGACCTATAATTACTGCATGAATTTAAAGTTGGTAGCCAGTTCTCTCTTAGCATGTTCCTTAGAACTGCTTTGGAAAGCAAATTCCAGGTACGGTGACTCCTGTGTTCTGATGGTAGATTGTTATTTATGAGACATTGAAGTTTACTAAGTTTCCAAGGCAGGGAGATGTAGTAGAGCTGGAGTCAACTTTGGTGGAGTTTGTTCATTCTACTAAATATGAAATTAAAACAAATGGTTCTAAGGATTTTTTCAGGGCTGTTTGTATTCAAATATATAATCATGCTGGTTTTTTAAAAATGTATACTTTGTCTTTTGGTGAATCTAGGGACATCATCTAAAGGCTCAGGCTCTTTCTGGATTGGGAAGAAGTAAGGAAGTGTTGAAGGAATTTCTCTACTGCCTTGCTTTAAATCCCGAGTGTAACTCTGTGAAGAAAGAAGCACAGAAGGTACGATTTCATTAAATGACTTTCTCCTTCAAGTCTTACTGATAGCCTTTGTGTCCATGCTGAGTAACCCTTGCAGGTAAAATAAACAAGAAGCATAATTCCAAATGCTCGTGAAAATGTGGTTGATAACTTCTAGTTAAATATTACATTTTTGTCCATGGATAAAGCAGAATGTTTCAGGAGACAGCATAAACATGCCTCAGTTTTGTTTCCATGATGACACATGTTAGGGGAGGCAAAGTGTTTTTTCCTAGAGTTTATGATTTCAAGTGTTAAGAGTTTGTGTAAGAGTCGTATAAAAGACATTGTGATATATGTAAAATATATCAAATCAGCTGTATAGGTTGACCTGTAATTTTAAGCAAAGCCTTACCAGCATGATGCAGAAATAGCTGCTCTTTGATTCATGACTGAGTCACATTGAATGTAGAAATCCTATAAAAAAGCTTGTACAATAGTTACTTGATATTTACTTAGCACTTCCGATGACCAGAGGTTTTTTGTTTTTATGTCAGCGTTTCCCTATTTTAACACTATTCATTGTCAGCTTCTACCATATATTTACCCTGTAATTTTTACTTAACAGTTCTAGTTTTATTTTCTGAAGCAACAGGAAATGAATCAGTTCTTCCTTCTACAATTCAAACCACTTCAGATATTCGAGAACAGCTATTATCTTTGCCTTTGTAATTCCTTGGGCCAAATAACCTTTTCTCAGAGAAAAGAGTTTCTACAGTTTCCTCCTCTGAATGCAATCTAGTGTTCACATCAGGAGGCATGTTTATTTTTAGCTTAATCCTATTACGGTGTTGTTTCCTATTAGAAGTGTAGTTAGCTAAAATACCTAGATTTTTTTTTTTTTAAATAAGAACTATCTAGCAGTATTTTAATCTTTTTCTTGTGTAGTTGATTGGTATTTGTTAATCCTGTTCAATCGCCACTCATTGGTTTTTGGCCATCATTCCAACTTGTCACAGTATTAATAATGTTGAATCTTCAGCCTGCCATTTCAGCTATCTCCGCTTTGTCCCACCTGCAAACTTCATAAGAATCTTAAAATGTATCTTACCTAAACTGATCCTTACAACAGCATCATGAGAAAGATTTAGCACATTCAGAGAGATTTAGCACATTCATAAAGGTCTCGGGACCAGAATTTAGGTCTTATGGATTCTTATCTGTCTAGTGCTTTTTCAGACATGGTGTTTTCTCCTCAGCCGTCCATGGCTGGTAGATATCTTTTATCGCAACCCAAAACAGTGTTGGCCTGTCGACGCCCAAGAAGTGTGGTACCATCCCCAGCAGCTGAGCTACCCAGAGCCAGTGCCAAGATGTCCTGTGGAGGATGGTGCTGCTTGGTGCTACAGAGTCAGAGATTCCAGTGTGCTCACCTTGAACCGTGAAGAACATTGCGGGAGGGGAGATTTTTTATTTAGGTTTCAGTCACTCTGCTTCCTGCAAGCCTTGGGTCCAGCTGAGGCCATGAGGTTTGGCAGGACCATTCAAGTGACAGCTACAATGCCTCACTGACAATCAGTGTCCCCCAACCCCTGTGCTGGCCCATGGTTCTTGAACTAGAATTATGGCCCTTCACCCTCTCTTCCTTTAAAGTTATTTACTAGGTGGCTCTTCTGTTTCTCTTGTGAATAGAGCACTCCTCTAGAAAGACCTCAGTCCTGTGGGTGATCACAGCTTAGATTTAATCTGGGGCCCCCTGCAACCTCTATACCCCATTTTTCTCTCTTATCTGTGAGACTTTTAGGGGGGATTTTATATAGCAGATGTATAAGGACCAGGCAGAAGGAAGTTGTAATGCTGACATTTTCTCATTAGTAAGACTAAGATGGAAAGGGATTAGAAACTAAAATGCTTAAAACACCGACTATGGTTTCAAACACGTTTGAATTTTAAAAGGTTGGCAGTGGGAATACATAGCAATTATTCTTTTCAACTTTTTAGGTCTGTTTGGCCCCATGGTTTCCTCTGAATCTTTAAGGCATATTATATATTTTTACAAAAGTTTTATGAAATTTTTTTCTTTTCTTGGCAATTTTATAGGTAATGTGTGAGGTGCTTTTTCCGGCTTCAGAAAATGTGCATCAAAATTTAACATCTTCCATCCAAAGCAAATTACAGGCTCAATGTCAGAGCCATGGAAACACCCAGTCTACTCTGGAAGGAGGAGGAGATGCAGGGAGCTCTGAGGTATGATGTGCGTTTGTTAGGATTCTCTTGATCAGGCTTTATGTGATCGCTTCATTTTACAAGCTATACAGACACCATGACATTTTGTTAGTCAGATGTATTTCTCAAGACCAGTTGTAGCTCCTCAATCTGGGAGTTGAAACTTTTAAATGAAATCTATGGAAGTAATGAAAATGATTAAAGATTAAAAGAAACTTTAGAGCACCTCCAAACAACCCTAAACATTAGGAGACCTGAAATTATTTTGGCTTGGGGAAAAGAAAGCAGAGAGATGATTTGAATATATGATATATGATTGTGTGTGTGTGTGTGTGTGTGTGTAGGTATATAATACTGCACATGAAAGTTGCTGTTCATTTGCTCTGGCTCAGGAAGAAATGATCCTGGATTTGACTGTGAAAAGAATAAAGCTGATCTTAGAAGTTAATAGATGAAAC